GGGCCTCATGCATGCTAAACAAGCACTGCATCACTGAACTACACCCCCCTGAACAAAATGTATACCGAAATGCAAACTGAAGACTGTTAGGAAAGGGAAAACTGGAGGCCACCACATGATTCCTGCCATTATGGAACTTAATGTCTAATTAGTGGAGGAGACTGCAAATACAAACAAGTAAAGGAAACTGGGCATCAGGATGTTTTTCCAGAACAAACTTACACAGGACTGTTAATTTACAGGACCCAGTGCAAAATGAAAATACAAGTCTCCTTATTCAAGAAGTGTTTAGGGCTGAGCTGTGACTCAGTGGCAGAGCACTTGTCTAGCACATGTGAGGCACTGAGTTTAATCCTCAGCACCGCATACAAAAATAAGCAAATAAAATAAGGCATGCTGTCCATCTACAACTACAAAAATAAATTTTAAAAAGAAGTGTTTAGAATTCAAGACAACAACAGAGTTCAATCAAGTTTGGGGTCTTTCTAAGACTCAGGTCACCTGCCCATGAAGCTGGCCCTGCAGTTCTCTATTGAGACCCAGAGGATGATAATTATCCTGCAGGGTGCTCCAGATAGAGGTAAAAGATTTTTGTGCAAAATCCTGGAGGCAGGAGGTCAGTGTGTGTCCTAGAAAGGTTGGAAGGGGTTGAGTGTTGGAGCTTAGAATGCCAGATGAGACTGGAAAGGTGGGTGAGTCCAGGGCAGAAAGGATGCAAGTGAGGGAGGGTCTAGGAAACCAAGGCTTCCTAGTGCTCTTGCTTAGTGGACTCTGTGGGCCCAACCATTGCCAAACTAAGGAGGCAGGAAGGGGCCAGCTGGGGGCCAGATCTTAGCTTGGACAGAGACCAGATGAGTACAGTGTGGTGAGGGGCCTGAGTGTCAGTAGCTCCAGGTTGCTCAGAGACCCAGAGCAAGTTCCAACACCACTCTTTGCCTCAGTTTTCCCAACAGGACCACAAGGGTGTTGCATGAGATGATTTGAATCACAACTTCCTCTCCAACCCTAGCATTATCTGATTCTTTTCTGGGATCCTAACATTCGTAGATTCAGGTGAAAGAGGGAAAGGATGCATTGAGATAGCCCCCCTTGAAGAGTGAGCAAAGGGACAGAGATACAGCTGGGGCAGGGAGTTCCTGAAGGTCCCTGGCCCAGGAAACCGGAAGGCAACAGCAATGGGAAGAGACTTGCCTGTGAGTACTTGGAATGCCAAATGCAAGAATTAGATTTAAGTGAAAGGTTAGGAAAATATGTCAAAAATGGTAATTAATGTTGATCGAGAGAGACTGGTTGGGAACAGAACCAGAGGGAAGTGGGAAGCCTGCCAAGAGACAGTAAGAATTTTGTCCCAAGTTGATCCTAAATTGCCAGATTCAAAGGGGAAACACTAAGGCCCTGACATTTCTGCCACCACTTCAGCCTAGACCCTAGGATCCCTGAAACATAAAATGGAACTTTCTCCTTTTCTCGGCATTCCATTAAAAAAGAAAAGAAAATGCTTTGTGAGTGCTACAACATGAATGAACTTTGAATACTTAATAAATAAGTGAAATCAGTCAGTCACAAAAGGACACATGGTATATGAAATGCCCAGAATAGGCACACCTACCGTGACAGAAAGTAGATTAGTGGTTTTCAGGGCTGTGGGAAGGGAAGGATGTGGAATGACTACTAATGAATATGGGGTTTCTTTTGGGGGTGATTAAATGCTCTAGAATTAGATGGTGATGATTGCATAAATTTGTGAAAATACTGAAAACCCACTGAACTGTGCAATTTAGAAAGGTAAATCTTACAGTATATAAAGTATATCTCAATAAAACTTTATTAAAAGAAAGAAAAAGGAAAGAAGGAAGGAAGAGTGGAGGGAAATCTTTCCTTTATAGAATCTTTTTTTTTTTTTTTTTTTTTTAGGTACTGGGAATTGAACTCAGGGGCACTCAACATGGCGCCACATCCCCAGCCGTATTTTGTATTTTATTTAGAGACAGGGTCTGGCTTTGAACTTGTGATCCTCCTGCCTCAGCCTCCTGAGCAGCTGGGATTACAGGCATGTGCCACCGCACCTGGCTGGGAAGTCCTTCCTTTATAGAAAATCTATGTTAGTAACATATACTGTATGGAAGATCTGGGGACATGGAGGTAGTTTACTGGGTGCAAACCCAAAACATCCTATTGGGATATTAGACATTCTTGTTCTTTACAATCATTTTATTTTTTGGAACTGGGATCGAACCCAGGGTGCTTTACCACTGAGCTACATATCTCCAGACCTTTTTATTTTCTACTTAGAAACAGGATCTCACTAAGTTACTGAGGGCCTTGTTAAATTTCTGAGATTGGTCTCAAACTTGTGTTCCTCCTGCCTCAGTCTCCCCACTTGTTGAAATTACAGGTATGTACCATCATGCCTGGCCTTCGAAATTATTTTAATTTCTCCACCAATGGAAACTTCTTGCTGGTACCTGCACCCCATTTGACACCCTATTCTCTAGCCAAATTGCTGGTTGTACCTTCCCATTGTCCCTTCCTTCCTTTCTCCCTACTGACTGCTTAATATAGCATAAACTTTCTTGTACAGTGTTTAGTTGAGCAAAAGGATCACTGGCATAGAGACTCTGAGATTTCCTTTAATGGGAATCATTCTATTCAGGGTTTAAAAAGTCCTCCTTGGTTATAAGTCAGTATTCTCTCCCAATGGAGAATGCCATTTTCAAGTCTACTTCCCAGACAGCGCTCCATGGAAACAGAAATAGGTCTGGCTGTAAAAGCTAGTCCCTAGTATGTTATAAGGAGCTCAACAATATTGGTGAGAAGAATGGATGGGATTATTCAGACTATGTCCCTAATGCCTACCTTTGTCTCCTACCTTCTGGTAGGGGCTCAATAAATTCCTTTTGAGTGAATATATCATTTATTGATATCATTTCTTACTCTTACCAAGGAATGGTTATGAGGAAGCTTAAGAAGACTCCCCACAAAATGGGCTGGGGTTGTAACTCAGTGGTAGAATGCTTGCCTAGCATGTACCAGGCCTTGGGGTCGACCCCCAGCACTGCTTAAAAATAAAAAGACCCAGAAACTTCTTTCTTTGGTACTGGTGCTTAACCACTAAGCCATATTCCCAGCCCTTTTTATTTTGAGACAGAGTCTCGCTAAGTCACTTAGGGCCTTGCTAATTTGCTGAAACTGTTCTCAAACTTGCAATCCTCCTGCCTCAGCCTCCCAAATTACTGGGATTACAAGTGTGTGCTACCACGCCTGACTGAAGACTCAGAAACTTCTAATGGGGTCAGCTGTAAAAGAAGTCTGGTAAAACAGGCAAGGCCCTGATTAGAAGGGTTGTCACAGACATTGTATTCTCCAAGGAGAGGGAGGCTAAGGGACCTTGGAAGATCCAGGATTGGGGTGGATGTGGACCCAGGATGGAGAAGACAGAGATGACACTGAGGTTCCATGCCTGGATCCTTTGATGGGCCTGGGCACAGCTGAGGTGGGCACCCAGCCAGCACCCCTGGCTGTGGCTGCACCTAGAGATCTTATCGGGGACATGGGTAATACCTGATCTGAGTCATGGGACCTGCGGCCTAGGAAACAGTTCCAATGTTGAAACAGGCCCAGAGGAGTGGGTGGGTAGGTATCTCTAATTTGCCACCAGCTCAGACATCATCGCCACCCACATTTCCTGTCATCCTAGGTCAACTTCATGGTCGTCACTCATCTCTGACCTGTCACTTACTTGTCACCCTCATCATCATCCCTGCATCACAATCTCTGCCCCTTGCACACTCATGCTGTCGCACGACCCAGTTCCCATCCCCAGTTATCTTCTCCAGCATTGCCAACATCCCTACCCTAGCCCCAAGCCCAGGGATGTTGCTATCTGAACCAATCCTGTCATCTTCATCAACTGCCTCCACCCTAGCCATCACTTGCTAGTTCCATTTCAATCCTTTGTGTCACCTGAGGTGCCCTCACCTGTCCCTGTCACCTTAGTCATCTTTGCTGCCACCGAATTAACCTTATGGTACATTTCCCAACATGGTTTCTCAGCTTTTACCACCATCCAGTCCCCACCACTGCTGTGTATTATGGTCTGGTATCACCTTGCACAACCCCCTCTGTTCACCTTTATTGCCCCCATCCGTGCCTCCTCCTTGTCACCATCACCAACATCCTCCTTGTCTCCAGCTCTTCGCCAAGATCCCTGAATAGGATATGTCCAATATGTGTCACGTTTGAGCCATTGCCCCTACCTTTTGACTTCTGGCCTCTGTTGAGCTTCCCGACCTGGGTTTGCTGTGCTCCTTATCTTTGTTCTCTGCCCCGGCCAGGTGTGCTTCATTTCAATCCTAAGTTGGCAGGGCTCTGGGGCCAGGCCCTTATTCCCAGGGTGTGAAAGAATACTGGATACAGGTCGGTAAGCCCTGGATCTTCTCTCACTGCACCTATGACATCTGGCAATTGCTTCTGTCCTGTCTGACCATAAAATCCCTATTTATTACGTTGACTATTATTTCCCTTTTTAGAATTCCCCAATGACCCCTCCGACTACTACTCATCTGTCTATGATAGCTCCCAGGACCTTGACACATAACATTTAATGATAACCCCTTATTTGGGTAGTTACATTTAAGGCTCTCTTGCTCACCAGACAAGGCACTCTGGGAAGGCAGTGAATTTATCTATCTTGGTCACTTCCAGGTCTCCAGAGCTTCTTGTAGTGCCTGGCTCCTGGTAGGGGACCAATAAATTCCTTTTGAGTGAATAGATATCATTTATTGAGCCCTTAACATGTGCTGGGCACTGTGTTGAGTACTTCACACCTATTATCTTGTCTTTTATTTTAGAGTCTCTTTCTATTTTATTTATTTTTTTGAGCCATTTTAAGGGCTTTTTAGCCCATTTGGCACAAACACTCCTGACAAAGTTCAAGCAGAGAAGCACATTTCCAGTTACTCATCAGAAAGAGAACGCTTAGAGAAAGCCAGTTACTCATAGAACAAGGAAAGCACTTTTATAATTAGAACAAAGAGAATCTCAGTTTGTAATATCACTTCTTGATTTCACATTTCTGTTTTCCAAAGGAGGTTGTAGAAGCTTGGAGCTAAGAAGATGGGGTGAAGGGATATTTGAAGAAGACCCCTTCTGATCTCTGAAAAGCAAAAAGAAGATCTTTCATACCATAAAACTAATGGGTTCAAGAGGCAAATATATAAAGAATTAAAATCAACTTACAGGGCTGGGGTTGTGGCTCAGCGGTAGAGCTCTCACCTAGCATGTGTGAGGCCCTGGGTTCGATCCTCAGCACCACATGAAATAAAGATATTGTGTCCATCTACAACTAAAAAATAAATATATATAAAAAAATAAATAAAATCAACTTACGTATATCTCATATCATTTATTCCATTTATTTCATTTCTTAGCATTTATCCCTGGGAAAATAATTGGAGATATAGAAAAAGCCTTTGTCCCCAGATATTCATTGAAATATTTAGGGGCTGGGGATGTGGCTCAAGCGGTAGCGTGCTCGCCTGGCATGCGTGCGGCCCTGGTTCGATCCTTGGCACCACATACAAACAAAGATGTTGTGTCTGCCGAAAACTAAAAAATAAATATTAAAATTCTCTCTTTCTCTCTCTCTCTTTAAAAAAAAAGAAAGAAATATTTAAACATTAAATATAAATGTATGAATTAAAAAATGAAAATAAAGGGCTGCGGTTGTGGTCAGTGAGCACTTGCCTAGCACATGTGAGGCACTAGGTTCGATCTTCGGCACCACATAAAAATAGATAAATAAAATAAAGGTATAAAAATACAATAACAAAAAAATGAGAATAAAATTGAAAAGTTGAGAATAAGCCAGGCACAATCGTGCACGCCTGTAATCCTAGTGACTTAGAATGCTAACGCAGGATGATCATAAGATCTGCCTGGGCAAATTAGTGAGATCAAGATAAAAAAAATCTCAAGATAAAAAATAAAAGAGCTGGGGATGTGGTTCAGTGGTAGAGCATTCCTGGGTTCAGTCCCTAGTACTTAAAAAAAAAAAAAGTTGAAAACAAACTAAAAATAAATACCCGGTGATAGAGGAGAGATTAAATGAAGTATGGTTTGTCTGTTAGTTACTAAAATCATGGTTTTAAGAGTTGAGAATTATTCTAGAACCATGACATTAATGAGAAATGCATTACAGAATCAGGCTTATACAGAATTATTTTCAATTATATCAAAAGTGTTTTAAAAGATTCATAGGTGAAAGGAAGCAAAAGCAAATGTATTTAAATGAATCTTTTTAAAATTTTTAGTTGTTTTTGTGAATGTATCTTTATTTATTTATTTATATGGTGCTGAGAATTGAACCCAGTGCCTCACATATGCTAGGCAAGTGCTCTACTACTGAGCCACAACCCCAGCCCTTAAATGAATCTTATAAAAAAAGAAAAGGAGTAAAAGCACTTAATAGACATTATGTTGCTTCTGAATTGTGAGAAATTTATTTTTATTTCTTGTAGTTTTCATATTTTCTTTTATGGGCATTATTACCTTTATAATAAAAGCTATGCATTTAAAAGAAACACAAAAATAATGTTTTATGTGAAAGTATCAGTGTTTTATAAACCCATATTACTTTTTTGATTTACTAGACTGTAAATTCTATGACAACAGGATATTTTTCTTTTTTCTGGCACTGGACCTGATTGATATTTGGGAGCAGGAGTGGGGGGTGGGAGGGCAGGGTCTGAATTCAGAGACACTTTACCACTGAGCAACATTCCAACCCTTTTTTGCAAGGTGGGGGGATAGTACCAGGGATTGTACTCAGGGGCGCTCGACCACTGAGCCACATACCCAGCCTATTTTGTATTTTATTTTACTGAGTTGCTTAGTGCCTGGCTTTCAACTTGCAATCCTCCTGCCTCAGCCTCTTGAGCCTCTGGGATTACAGATGTGCACAACCGCACCCAGCCATTACTACCCTTTTTATTTTTCTTTTTTTGAGACAGGGTTTCACTAAATTGCTGAGGCTGGCCTCAAGCTCGAGATCCTCCTTCCTCAACCCCCTGAGTCACTGGGATTACAGGGTGTGCCTCTGCGCCTGGCTTTCACCTGGTAAATGCCAAATGAAAGTGTGGTGGGTAACATGCAATAGAAATCATTAAACGTGCCTTTTTCTGCATCTTTCACCTGTTTTCACCTTAATTCTCCAGAGTAAACCCACCCTACATGGAAATAATAAGTTGCAGTGGCGCATGTCTGTAATCCCAGTGGATCAGGAGGCTGAGGTAGAAGGATCATGAGTTCAAAGCCAGCCTCAGCAAGTGCCCTTAGATTCAATCCCCAGTACCCTCCCCCCTCGCAAAAAAAAGAGAGAATATTTTTGGGGTTGCCTTGATCTACAAAACCAACACACACATACATGATGGTACATTTAAGGAGCACAGTGGATTTGAGAGAATCATATCTGAGATATGAAACGATACTGGATTATTCAGTAAGCCTGCTATTCCTTCTTTGCTCCTGTCTCAGAGAGGGGAACCACCCCAGCCAGAAGCTGGGGAGTTACCCCAGCTTCTCACTTCTGCACTCTCACAGTCAATCATTCACCATGTTCCAGCCCCACCTCTTTTTCCATCTCCAAAGTGACTAGTTTTCTAGTCATCACCATCTCTCACTTTCACTATTGCAGCTACCTCCTGGCCAGCTTCTCTGTTCCACTCTGCTCACCCTAAGTCTGTGCCTTCTGAGCTATAGCCATGCTTTAGAGGTCTTGAAGACAATAACCTCCTGCTGCCACTCTCCCTTTACACACTTTCTATGGCTCCCATCACTCTCAGGAGCAAATAGAAGACAGTCATGATTCAGCCCAGGCTGACCTCTCCTGTATCATGGTGCTCCCACCCTGCTCCAGCCACACAGAATTTCACTATTGGAATTTCCTAGGCTCCCTCTGGGCCTCTGCATGAGTTGTTTTTTTTTTTTTTTTTTGGGCGGGGGGGAGAGGATGGGGTGGAGGGAACCACCCTTTCTCTCCCCTACTCCTTTGCCTGGTTGACTTCTCACTGCCACAAAGTGGATGTCCCTTCTTCTAGGAAGTCTTCCCTGATGTCCCCCACTCCCTTGGTTCAGTGGACTCTTCTCATCTCCCATCATTTTTATTATCTCTAATTCCTGCATTGTAACCCTTGTTTACTCACCAGCTTTCTTACATGCCCTGCAAGTCCTTCAGGACTCAGATGGGACCTGCTCTCCAATGCACATAGCACCTGTGAGGGCTTCCACAGCTGCTGAATGATTAAGTAATGAATACATAATACTTCTCAGGGATGTAGCTCAGTGGTAGAGTATTTACCTGGCATACAGAAAACTCTGGGTCTAATCCTTAGCACTAGAAAGGAAAAAAATATTAAAAAGGTTAATTCTTAAGGGCTGGGTTGTAGCTCAGTGGTTGAGTACTTGCCTCGCATGCATGAGATACTGGGTTTGATCCTCAGTGTCACATAAAAAATTAACAGAATAAAACAAAGATATTGTGTCCATCTCCAACTTAAAAAATGTTTTTTAAAAAAGGTAAATACTTAAGATTCTCAGAAGTGGATATTCAGAAAAAAAAATCCAAAAGAACCCATAAAATTCTCCAAAGATAAAATTGTGTTATGATTTGATAAGTGGAATGTGGTGGTAAATATGTAGTTAGGGATGATGGGTTATGGGGTGGGACAGTGGGAGTGGTTCAAACCATCTGTGTGTTTGATCACGGACAGTGTTTAGAATTGCTGCTTCCACTAAATAGGAGCAGATTGACTTTTAGATTTTTTTCCTATTTTTTTTTTTAATAGTGCTGGGTGGGGATTGAACCTAGGGCCTTCCTCATTATTCAGTTTTATTGTTTTTGAGTTCTCATCTGACAATACATCTCCTGTTGTGGGACACTTGAGAGGACCTGTCCCCTCTTTTTAGTATGCCAGCAGTAAGCAGCCCTGATGACTGGGTGAGTTGATCTATCTTTATCCCCTCAGCACTGAGCTGGGATCCAGCCATCCAAAACTCTATAGGGTGTCCTCTCCCAGAGCTGGGGCCACTCCCTCTGGCTCCTCTAGCACCCCATTTCCCTCAGGAGAACCCTTTGAGTCTCCTTGCTAGAGGCTATCTGGGGGAAAGAGGCCCTCCTCTGTAGGAAATAGAACGTCTGCATAGGAGCTGGCCTGGGATCCAGTCCTGTCCTTGCTACTAACCCACCCCAAAGTCTAGGCTGGCATTCAGGACTTTACTTCTGCGCCACATAAATTTGGGGTGTTTTGGAAACTGGTCCTCAGAGTCTTCATGAAGGTCTCTTTCAGAAAAAGTTTCATGAAAACTTCTCAAGCCAGGGAAGGTATATCGCCATGGAGATGAAAGGGAATTGTCCCCTCAGGCCCCTCTTCCTGCTTTTCCCTCTGACCTGTGTGAGACATTCTACCGCAGGGACTGGCTAGGTTGGGTGTGTCAGGCAGCAGGACAGAAGGCGAGTCTGGACAGGTGGACAGTGGAGCCTAAGCCCCAGGGTGGGGTGTACATGTGTGTGTCGTGGAGACGGAGGAGGTAGGGGTGGATCCCTGGCAAAGGTCAAGGATGGGAGAGGTGGCTCCAGCAGGCCGGCTGCCTTTACTTGGTGACCGCCCCCAGGAACTACAGAAACAGATGCTGGGCTGGGCTAAGTCATGGCTCTGCCATGGGGCTGGGGAGGACCTGGAGGGTGGAGAACAGTCCCTTGGTGAAGTCACTTCTAGGATGGGAGCCAAGATCCCTTTCTGGGAAGGAAGAGGTGTCATGTAAGAGGAGAGATTCACGTTGGTCCACAGGAGGAGCAGGTGATGGTAGAGCAGGGAGAATGAGGTGCCATGTTGTTTGGGCTGTTTCAGAGAAGGGAAGGGAAGAGCCATGTCACCAGCTCTTCCAGGGGAGGAGGGCTGTCTTATTTGAAGGCAGGGGAGATGGACAGGCTATCCTGGGGAACGAGGGAGCCAATAACCCTCTGTCAGGGTTTGGAAGTTCACAGTTGAAGAGGAGACCCTGGGAAATTGAGGCTTGGGTCAGGCCAGCTCTGGGGCTCAGTTGTTCCTCTGTGAAATGGGGAGAATTTTCTTGGTCCCTGATTACCAAAGGGCTCCTAAAGACAAAGTGTCCCCTGGCATGGTCACCAAAGATTGAGGAGTCTTCCTTACATGCTACTTTTTTTTTTTTTTTAGTAATGTGTAACACTGAATTACAAGTAACTTTTATTTATGTATTTATTTTTATGTGGTGCTAAGGATCAAACCCACTGCTTCACATGTGCTAGGCAAGCACTCTACCACTGAG